AATACCCAGAATGACACGAGTATACGATATGCATTTGGCTTTCTAAAAAAGATTTGGGCTCTGTTATTAAAACCAAGTTAATCCAGCTTAAACCGTCAACGAGCGTAGACATAGCAACCAAATGCCGGGTGCCAGATCACCAGATATATCCTCGTCGAATCTATTTAATAAAAAAAAAAAACTGTTCTATTAAGACGAATGCCTAAAATAGAACATTTAAAAGCATTAACTGTATATTACACGAACGATTCGTTTAAATCTGTAGTTTTTAAAAGTACCTTCAACGTTGTTGTATGGTTGAAGGACATTTTGTAAACCGGATTGGTCCAGTTCTGTTTGCGCCTGTTCACTGACTCATTCAAGCTCAATTAAGAGCGGTTAATGTTACCGAATCATAAACAAGTTAAATCAAAAACATACCAATGTAATAGTACTTCTAAATATGAATAAACAAAAGTAAGGCTCGTGATTCCCGCAAATATCAAGAACACCGGGAAATTTAAGAATTAACGTTACATAAATTTATTTGAAACAAAACCGATCTTACCCAACTGCAACGGAATAATGATGGGAAACTTCGTTTAAATTATCTGTGATAGACAAGAAATATCCTGCTGATGTTCGATGGTTTTGGTCATGTCTGTATTCACAGTGATGCTCAAGCCAGCTTTTTATACGAGTCTCATGCCTAAATTTCTCCGCCCACTTTTAAGGGTGGGCAGCACAAAACCATAGACCTGTTTTCAGGCTAGTTTCCGCGAATCGATTCTTTTGAACGATTCATTTCAAAGAACCTTCTTTGCATCGTGATGAAACTACCATGCAGCTGGCTCGCCAACACATTTCCAGTATGTTTTATTTGTATTGTGTGCTACATTTCTGGTTTAGGTTCATTAAAGTAACCTTATTTTCGCTTCATTAGTCAAATCCTTTGTTCACTCCTAAAGATCCGATTCAAAAGAACGATTCGCTCAGGAATCATCCACGACGTGAATCGAGTTCAACGTGCTGAACTAGTTACTCTTTTTGTCAGTTACGGACAAATTATTTCGCTTTGTTTCTTGCTTTAATGAGTGATACAGATTTAGTGTGTGAATACGAGCAGAGGAAATTGTTTCTTCTCTCGATGGCCTGCATAAAGAAAACGAACAATTAAGGGGTACGTTGACCGTATTCCAGGCACACAATCCAGTTTTGTAGCATTTAAGAGAGTCCACCTTAAGAGCCTGACATTAGTGCCTTATTCTTTCTCCTCCCTGTTGTTTTCGTGACTGTACAAGACCTCTATAAACAAGTTTGGGGGTTGGGGGTATTTCGTTTCTTTCTTAGAAAGATCTTAGAAACAGCATATGGTCAGTGTAACAGCAATCTCAATGTGCAGTTCAGTTATTTCCTCAATGCTCAAAACTATATTCAAAATCTACTGTTTACCAAAATATTTCTACCATGCTGTATTTATAGTAAGCTTTTACATGTAAAGTGTAAAATTGTATCTATTATTTTAAAAAGACCAATAAGTGAAAAATAGCTCAATTTATATAGTGCTGGTCAGGCAAATATATTGGAATTATTTGTCAAAAGAGTTGGTCAACCTTTGCCCCAATTGTGTTCTCTGTTAAGAGTTACGCAGCTAAGCCTGATTAAATGCAGCTCTATGGCTCTTTTATTTGAATTTACAATAGACTGTGTGTGAGAGTTTTGTGAGACTGCTTTATTAATCAGGAAGAGATGAAACAGCAAAAGAAATACAAGAGCACAGATTCTAAATAATAAACAACAAATCCCTAAATATATAAAACCCTAAAGGTTTCAAACTATTCATTACCTTTTATTTTGCTTGTGCTTGTCTCTTGCACTATAAAGTTCCATCTACTAATTCTAATGTCTATTGAATGCAGCACAGCAGACCCATGCTTCAGAAAAACATTCACAGCATACAAATGACTGTGCTTCCACGTGGTCTCCTAGAACCTGTCAGGAAAACTGAAATATGATCTAACAGCAGGAACATTGAGGAAAACACGTCCTGATATTTTGATAAATATTTAGGAGGATATGGAATATTTAATGGAATATTAAATATTTTTACAACACAAGAATATTTTGATTGGGCTGAATATATAATTTTGTAGAAACACAAAGGTTCACTGTGTAATTGTGTGAATGTTTGTGGAGCTCCAAAATTTATTCAGCACTTTTTTTTCAAATACAGACACAAAAATTTGCAAGTTAGAGCATAACACTCAGAATGAAGCTCCTCCTTTTATTCCCAGATAGCACGTAAACACGACAGAGCACATTCTCAGTAAAGACATGGTTCTGATTGGCGCCTACAGGCTCACAAACAGAGACAAAAAGTTTTCTTCCTTTTGTTGTTCTGATAAACTATAGCTTCTTAACAGGAATACATCATCTCAGTATGTTAATGAAATCAGAGAAGATGTGAAAGTAGTAAAAACTTGAGAACAAAAGAGCATGCTAATTTGTGCTGTCCTTGATAATTTCTCCAGAAATCAATCAAGCGTCCTGGAGGGACTAAGCCAATCAACATTACACAAACCCTTGAGTCAACATCAAATCATTCAGTTTAACAAAACCAAATTCAACCAACTGATTTGTGGTACAGTTGAAGTTTAAAAACAGGCTAAGCTTTTCCAAATGGCAAGACACCTTTTGGCTGTGCCAGTTTGAGTCAGCATGCTGACCTCTCCTTCCTTTCCAGGCTAGTATGCACAATTCTTGGATTGGCGCCTGGAAGTGTTATAGATAACTGGACAGCAACCAATCTGGCTTCAGAAGTGGACATTCGACTGAGACTGCCTTGCTCTCAGTTGTTTAAGCTCTAAGACTGGCAAGAGCGGCTTCCAAATCTTCTAAACTTATCTTGCTGGATCTGTCCACTGCTTTTGATACGGTGAACCACCAGATCCTCCTGTCAACCCTATTGGAAAATGGCATCTCAGGAACCACACGCCAGTGGTTTGATTCTTACCTCTCAGCTAGATCCTTCAAGGTATCTTGGAGAGGTGAGGTGTCCAAGTCGCAACATCTAGCTACTGGGGTGCCTCAGGGCTCAGTACTTGGACCACTTCTCTTCTCTGTCTACATGGCATCACAAGGTTCTGTCATTCAGAAACATGGCTTTTCATATCACTGCTATGCTGATGATGCTCAACTCTATCTCTCATTCCATCCTGATGATCCGACGATAGCTGCTCGCATCTCAGCATGTCTAACAGACATTTCTTGTTGGAGTTGTGATTGATGATAAGCTGAATTTCTCAGACCACATTGCGCTCTCTTGGCAGGACTTCCAGCCACTTCTATCAACCCTCTACAATTAATCCAAAATGCCGCTGCAAGATTAATCTTTAACGAGCCGAAAAGAACGCATGTCACACCTCTGTTCATCAATTTGCACTGGCTACCAATAGCTGCTCACATAAAATTTAAGGCATTAATGTTTGCCTACAAAATCACCTCTGGCTCTGCACCCATTTACCTAAATTCATTACTTCAGAGTTATGTACCCTCTAGAAGCTTGCGTTCTGCAAGAGAAATGACTAAAAACACATCTGTTCCATCTTTATTTGACCCTCTAACTCTAGCACTTTCTATTCTATTTTAATTCTACTTTATCTATTTATCTTCTTTTTATAAAAAAAAAAACTAACTCTAGCTTTCTATTTTTTCTGTTCTATCTACTTGTTTTTCTTTCTGTGTGTGTGTGTGTGTATGTATGTATATATATATATATATATATACCTTGCTACGTGTACTGCGTTAGGCTAACCGAGACTTGTCATTTGCACTTACATATTGTTGCTCTTTTGTTAGTTTTGATTGTTTCTATTGTCCTCATTTGTAAGTCGCTTGGATAAAAGCGTCTGCTAAATGACTAAATGTAAATGTAAAATGTAACTGCACGACCATAATATGATATTTCTGCATGATCAACATGAGACATCTGAAATATTCACTCCAAAAATGTAGGTAGTCTTGCAATAAATTTATAATGATAAAATACAGCTGAACAAAAAAATAAGCACTGTCATCCAAGGGAACAATGCAAATTGTAGGGATACTGATAAAAAAACTTGTAAATTGTGCAGCAACAGTTCTACAGTTCAAACGATTTGTGTAAATCAACAACAGTTTTCCTCGTATATATACTTAGCATAAAAATTCATTTGTCAGCGTTGTTGTTGGAAGTTGTTTTTAATGTATCACTGCCCCCTGGTGTTCATCTGAGAGTATGCGCTTCTCCTGACCCTGTCAGTTTTACCAGAAAATCAGAATCAGAAAATGGCTTGTACTGTCAAATTCATCTGAAATGTGAGTGTGGAATGTGAGTTTACATTAGCACATGTATTGAATTCTTGGATGAATATTCTATTCTGGATGTTATGCTATTATTAACCAATACACTTTTAAAGCAATTTTCACTACTGTTGTGAATTAATTCTTCAGATTTCATTGTGATGTAATAAGCATTGTGTGTTTAACTCTCAAGTGTGTAATAAA